GAAGTTCCTGCGCCGCCGCCTCGGTCCCGCCGGGCCCCACCTGAAGGGCGCCCACCTGGCTCTTCCAGAGACCGACCTGCGGGGACAGGGTAACAGGGGGCAGGCAGTGAGCGCCCGGCGACAGATGTACGACAGGAAAGTGGGCAACCATCCCCGCGCCCCCCGAAATCACCGGAGCAACGATGCCCTGTCCTCACTGCTTACCCGAATCAGGAGCAGCTTTAAGGGCCCGGTGTATATGGGCTCACCGAAACGTCACAAGTGTCCGAAGGAGGCAGGCGTTCTAACTATCCCCTTTTTATGGATGAGGGAAACTGAGTCTCAAGCCCATAATCTGTTCTTTGCACTGTACCAGTGATTCCCAAACTTCCCGACTCTTCTTCTCCTCCTACCTCCTGTATTCCTATCACTCGACTTCGGTGGCTCCTCCATCCCTGAGTCTCAGGAATAGTCCAGAGCCTCAAACTGGCATCTAAGGCTCTCTATAGACTGCTCACCGGACTGTCAGCTCCTTGAGGGTGCCATTTTGTCTGTCATGTTCACAGCTGTATCCCCAGTGTTTCAATATATACCCCACAAAGGATTGATCCTACAGTTCCAGGACACGTCCCAGGACTCCCCATCCATTGCTTGTGATTCTGAATCACCAGAGCACTCTCCTACCTCCAACCTTTGCTCATCTGTGCCCCTTGCCTGCCCTTCCCTTCCACAAACATGGTTACTGAAAACAGCACCATGCCGCCCCTCTGCATCCTGCAGCACTTCCTCTACCTCTCAGAGCCAGGTGACTGCACCAAGCAGGGGCTAAGACAATGTCAGCTCCCTCCTGGCCTCTGGATCCCTTTAGTTCCTTTTCCTTAGCCTCATCCCTGGCACACGGCTGTTTGCAGACTGACTACAGAAGGGGGGGCTGGGCCCATAGCCCACGCAGTGCTTCCTTCTCAATTCCCCAGAGTAGGTTTAGCCCACAGGCCTGGGTGGACAGTGACTGCCTGATCTGCAGTGTTAGCGACACTGTCTATTTCTCACCTGGACACCCTGAGGGAGCCCCGTAAGTATTTGCTGAATGGTGAACGAGTTGCCGTCTAGGCCGTTAGGCAGGGAGCTCCTTTACGTTGGGGCCAGGGCCTTCCTCACACTTTGTCTTCTAAACCTCCCCCAGCCTGGCACCAAGGAGGGCTAAAGATGCTTGTTGAATGACTGAACACGTGAAACGACCCAGGTTTCCTGGGAAGGCTCAATTGTGCTAGAAGGGGAAAGAGAAGACGGGGGTGGGGACGGTGTAGGGATGGTGTCTGAGTGGGACTGGGGTTTGGGGGTGGGATGGGTGGGAACAGAGGTGAGATGGAGTGGACTGAAGTGGGATGGGGTGAGTGGAGGTGGGGTCGGGTGGGGTGGGACTGCCCTCTCCTCTTTCTGGGCTCAGTGCTGGCTCCTCGGCCAGCCAGCTGCTCAGACTCACCCCTAGTCCCGGCCCAATCACTAGACCCCGACCCCAGCGTCGCACCTGCAGCGCTAGGCAGCGCGCATCACTGCTCTGCAGCGCGGCGCGCAGGTCCTCCACCAGCTCCCGCAGGCTGCTGTTCTCCTCCTCCAGCCGCGCCACAAGCTCGCCGTCTGGGCCGCTGTCGGGGCCAGGCGCGCGGGGCGGGCGGCGGCGGCGGCGCGGGCGGCGCAAGCGGATCTGCGTCTCGATGTGCTCGCTGAGCGCGCCGCGGGGCAACCGAGGCCCCGCGCGGGTGCCGAAGTAGCCGCAGAGGCGGGCGTGGAACTGGCGGAAAGTGAGTTCTGGAGGCTCAGCGCACAGCGCCAGGCGCGCCTCCTCCTCGGCGTCCGCGTCCCCGTCAGGCGCCTCCCCAGCGGCCGCGTCCCCGGCTCCCTCCCCGGCGGTAGCGGTCCCCTCGGCGCGCAGCCCTAACACGGCGCATAGCGCGCGGAAGTCGGCGCGGGGCAGGCGGCCGGCGCCGCGACAGTCGAGGTGGTGGAAGACCTCCTGCAGGTACTGGTCCAGGCCTGTGGCCAGCACTACAATCTCGTTCTCCACGCCGCGGTCCAACCCGTAGTGGTGCGCCAATGCGCTCAGCAACCACTGTGTGCGCCGCGCCGGCCGCCGGTAAGGGTCGCCTGCCGCGCCCTCCATGCCGGCCTCCGCGCCCGGGCCGCGTGGCTCCATCGCACGAGCTGCGCGTCCCCTCTCCAGTTCCTCCGCCCTGCCACTTCCAGAGTTCCTCGAAAGGAGGGGCTTAGCGACCGCAGGCTGGTTGGAGCGGCGCCGGGGGCCGCGTCCGGCAGTTGCGCTGGCCCTGCAGGAAGTCTGTGTGCCCCCCTCTCCATTGCTTAGAGAGGGGCTAGGGTAAGAGGCCCAGGAGCCCTTGAGACTGCCGCGATGCTACCCCAGATCCGTCTGCCTCCCGCTTCTCTCCGGACCCCAGTGCTCTTCTGCCCCTCAGAATCTCCCCCACTCCCCGCCCGGCCCCCGCCTTCAGGCGTCTACTCTTTTCTTCCCCTTTGGGAGTCCGTCAGCTTTCAACTCCCCATCCTCTGCCCCTAGACGGGGTGAGGGGTAGGAAGCCCGGGAGGGACTGGCAGGTAGTGGCTTTTTCCGGTTGCTGGGGACATGTGCCCCACCCACAGGCGTCACTGTATTCCTTCCCAGAAAGCCTCCCCAGGTTAGCCATGAATGCTTGCTACACTTTAAAGGATGTGAAGAAGCCCCCATTCCTCTGTACCTGTGAACGTGACCCTTTTTAGAAATAAGAGTTTTTCTTAAGCCCTGGACTACTAGCCGAAAGGGTGGCGTTTGGAACCCACCCAGAGATGCCTGAGAAGACAGGCCTGGCAATCTGCTTCTGAAAGGTCACAGCCTTGAAAACCCTATGGATCAGTCCTACTCTGCACACATGGGGTTGCCATGAGTCAGAATGGATTCCATAGCAACTAACTACAACAAAGTTAAACAAGGTCATACAGGGTTAGGGCGAGTCCTAATCCTAATTCCTTCTGAGTGGTGTTTTATAAAAGATGAGAACAGACATGGAAGCACACAGGAGAGCTAGCATGTGAGGATGGGTCTATAAGCAAAGGAACACCAAGGAACGCCCTGGGCTACAGAACTTGAAAGAGACAAGGAAAAATCTTCCCCTAGAGCCAGCAGAGAGAGAGAGAGCACAGCCCTGCCAATACACTGAATTTGGACTTCTGGCCTCCAGAACTATGAGTCAATAAATTTCTGTTCTTTAAAGTCACCCACCTTACGGTATTTTGTTGTGGCAGCTCTAGCAAACTAAGACACCCACTTCTCATCCCACGTGGTTGCACACCCATTTGCATACCAGATGGTGCAAACAGCCCCAAGGGGACAAGGTTCAGGACACCCTGCTGGTAAGAAATGATCTGAGGTGGACCCTCTGTTCTCTAAGCTGTATGTGTGGGTTTTGGAGTGGGTAGGACTCCCCAGAAAGTGGTGGTCTCTGGTCTACCAGGGATGGTGAGTTGGTGGCCAGGTCTGAGTTCCATCCTCATGCTGGGGTGAGACTAACACATAGGCTAACACGTTGCAATTTGGCCAACATTTCCTCTGGTGCTTTAAAACACATTTCTGGAAGATGAAAGAAAAACCAGCTTCTCAAGTGTGTGCTAGGCTGTTTTCCCTTTCTTTTTCACAAGAGTGCTGTAGAAGTGTTGTGCATCTGTTACCTGCACTGGGAACATTTTCCTGCTCCCTGACGAGACGCCAGCCGTGTGGAGCAAGAGGCAGACTGACTTCTGACCATCTCTCTTCAACAGTCCTTGGCTGTAGGATGCACAGAATCTTGCGTTGTGGACAACTCTACGATTTTTATGTTTCCCTCTGGAATTTGGAAAGCAATTAAATTCTAAAGGAGCTCTTCTGATAGAGGCTCAATAAATACGGGAAGGTGCTTTGGTTTCTGGTCTCAGCCTTTGTACATTTTGTCTCCTCTGCTCCAAAACCAAAAAAACCCATTGCCATCGGGTCTATTCCAACTCATAGCAACCCTAGAGGACAGAGTAGAACTCCCCCATAGGGTTCACAAGGAGTGGCTGGTGGATTCTAACTGCCAACCTTTTGGTTAGCAGCCTGAGCTTTTAACCACTGCACTACAAGAGCTCCTCCTCTGCGCCAGTGTCCCACAATCAGCACTGTGTGTATTTAGCAAATTCCTACTTGAAGACTTTGCCCGAGGAAGAAAGGAGTTAGATCTTCCTTCACTGCAAGGAAAGAGTTAGATCCTCCTCCCCAACCACCCTTGTTTTTTAATTATAAAAATAATAGCAATCTGACAGAGTTTTAGACCAGTTCCATTTCTTGGCTTCATTGTTCATAATAGTGAAAAATTGGAGAAAACTTGGTGTCCATCAGTAGGAGAAACGAGCAAGGAATTTTGGGATGTTTCATGCAGTAGTTAAAGGGAGGGCACGAATCTTAACTACATATATATATATATATCATCTAGATGAGTGAAAACAGCAAGTTACAGCATATAATGTACAGCGTTAATACTTTCTTCATAGTAATATCAACAAAACCACACAAAACAATACTTACTATTTCCCACCAAACCCATTGCCATCAAATCGATTCTGACTCATAGGGACCCTAAAGGACAGAACAGAACTGCCCCATAGGGTTTCCAAGGAGCACTTGGTGGGTTAGAATTGCCAGCCTTTTGGTTAGCAGCCGTAGCTCTTCACTACGTCACCAAGGTTTCCCATTTCCCACTAGGACATGTGTATATAAATGCAAAGAAAAAGAAGGATTCGTGAACTGACTCTGGTTATTTCCAGGGAGGGGAAGAGGGAAGGTTTTCCAAAGGACCGTTAGCCTTCTCTAACATTTCCTATTCTGACAAAGCAATGTTTTCATGTATTTCTTTCTTTCTTTTTGCTTTTTTTAAGGGGAAGATGCACTATTTTTTAAACAGCTTTATTGATATATAATTTCTATAAAGCTCACCCACATGTATACAATAAACCAAAACCCACTGCCATCGAGTTGATTCTGACTCATAATGACCCTATAGGACAGAGTAGAACTGCTCCATAGGGTTTCCAAGGCTGTAAATCTTTACAGAAGCACACTGCCACATCTTTTTCCTCTGGAGCAGCTGGTGGGTTCAAACCACTGACCTTTGATTAGCAGCCAAGCGCTTAGCCACTGCACATCCAGGGCTCTTTTATATATATATATTGATTTACAATTTACATAAAGTTCCCCTGTTTAAGGTGTACAAATCAATAGTTTTTAGTATATTTATAGAGTTGTGCAACCATCACCACAATCTAATTGTAGAACATTTTGGTTACACCTCAAAAACCCTTGTACTCATTAGCTGTCACTCCCTACCCCTCCACCTTCTCACCACCCCATCCCTAAGCAACTACTTACTTCTTGTCTCTATGGATTTGCCTGTTCTGGACAATTCATATAAATGGAATTATATAATACATGGCCTTCTGTGGCTGGCTTTTTTTTAAAAAAAAAAACATTAAAAACACTTGAAAACATTACAGTATGTTAATAAGGTTCATCCATATATCAGTACTTCATAGCTTTTTATAGCTGAATAATATTTCATTGTATGGATGTACCACAGTTTGTTTATCCATATATCAGTTGATGATATTGGATTGTTTCCATTCTTTGGCTATTATAATGCTACTACAAACATTCATGTACAAGTTTTTGTATGAATATATATTTTCAGTTCTCTTAGGTATTGTAAAATTCAAAGAGTAGTAATAATAGTAGCATTGTTAGAACCTAACTTCAGAGGGGATAATGACCAGGATCAGCCCAAAGCTCATTCCCTATGAGGTGGAGGTCAGACATATCTCCACCCTCCAAGCTGTTTACCACCTTTGACACCAGTTGTCCCTTTCATGGCACCCTCCTCTTTGCTGGGTTCAGTAATCCATTGCCTCAGCCCCTGAGGACAGGCTTCTCTTGGCCTGCTGAGAACAGCTTCCTCTTGGCCTTGCCATCTGTCACCACCAACTCTGCCACTGGGCCCCTTCCAGGCCTGTCATTATCTTCAGTGTTATAGCTCTTTACTTGTGTTACAGCTCTTTTAGGAGGTTCCTTGCCTCCTTTCTCTATGCTTCTTCTCTCTTGCCTTTTTGGCTTCCTGTCTGAAACAACCTCTGCGGGGCTGGCTGCTTATAACCACAAACTCCTCGTCAATTTCAAGTCATAGTCCTCCCACCAGGACCATGAACTAACCAATCCCCTGTTGGTAGGCCACAGACACTTCATTTGCATAGTCTATAGTCACTTCATTTGCTTAGTATGTTGACCAATCCCTGCAAGGTGCATACCAATCACAGGGCAGGCGGTAGCCCAGGACCAGACAAAAAGTATCAAACCACAAGTTGTTTACAGCTTACACAAGAAATGTCAATCAACCTGGACAAAAGTAACCAACCCTCTAGGGTAGAAAACTAGGGCAAAGGTAACTCCTCAGGGCTTAGGGGAAAACTCTCTCAAGATGTTTTTCTAAAGAAGCAAGGCAAAAAGTCTACATAAAGAAACTCATTTCATCACAGGTATATACCTAGGAGTGCAATGGCTGGGTCATATGGTAACTCCATGTTTAACTTTTTGAGGAACTGAAGTTTGTTTTCTGAAGTGGCTGCACTATTTTACATTCCCACCAGCCGTGTATTTCATGTGTTCTTGATATGTCCAGTAATACAGGTGTTCTCAATTCTGGACTCCCACTCCTTCTGTCCCCAGTATTCTCCACCTCAGTTCATGGTGCCTCCAGCCTTCCTCAGCAAAACTCTTGCAGCCGTCTTTGGTTCTTCTCTTGCTTTCCCACCCCACATCCCATCTGTCAAAATCCATCCCGAATCTGACTCCTCCCTGCTCCACTGTTACCACCCTGGACCGAGCCCTGACACCGTATTATTGCAACAGCTTCTCCCAAGTGCTGTCCTTGAACTCCTACAGTCTGTTCTGAACTCAACAGCCAGAGACAGCTTGTTAAAACTTAAGTCAAAGCATGGCCCCCGGACTCTGTCAACCGAGAACTAAAACCATTCCCAAGGCTGATTCTACAAAGATTAGACTGGACTATGGGACATAAAATGATACTCGTGAAGAGTGTGCTTCTTAGCTCAAGTAGATACATGAGACTAAATGGGCAGCTCCTT